TATTGAATCAAAATATATTTAAAAATTTATATATATTAATATACAATTATATGAAGACAACTTTATTATAATAAATAGTAAACTATAATTTATAAAAATTTTTGAATTGAAATAGCTTGACAAAATTATCTTATATAATTAAAATAAGTATTTATTTAGATTTTTACAAGAGTAGGAGAATTAAATAACTTTATTAATATAATGAAATATTTTTTTTATAAATTATTTCTCTTTGAAAAAATAATAAATAAATATAATACTAAAAAATATAAGGGATTCTTAGTTATCTTTGCTTTTGGAGATTCTAATATTCCATTCATCAGTGCCAGTACGATCTTTTGTTACGATACCAACGTCATTTGTTCAGGATCTGTTTCGGATCGTTTTCGTTTACACAGCAATGATTCTGAATTTCTACTAGATTTGTGCAATAGCTTCTCATTTTTATGTGGTTTAACTTTGGTCACTAAGGCGGTGACCTGACTTCAATCGAGTTCAATTTTCATCTTAGATCATGTTAATAATTATTGCACATTCATATGAAACCAACGGCTGTAGATTGGAGGACCGAAATAAACTCTCTTGCAGTAGCTTCATTTGGCTGGGGCAACCTCGTTGTGAAAAAATAGTTATCTTCTTCCGAAGATTGTCTTCAAACGTTTTAAATCATCATCAACAAGTGAGGTCTAATTTGAAAACTTCTATTTCGAGTATCGGCATTGAATCAATAGAATCAAATGCATCTATATTTCCCTAGAGATCCAATCCTTATATGTTTTTTTCCCTTTCTTTGTATTTTAAGGTCAAGAAAATGTTCGAATATCCGGATCAGTCCTAACCACTAAGTTATTAAACTAGAACTCGTTCTTAATTCTTCTCACTCTGAGTTGATTTTAATAAATAAAATAAAAATCACAGGTTTTAGTTTCTCAAACTTTTTTGAACAGATTCTCGAAGCAAAACCCAGGAGCCACTGAAATACGACATTCTAAAATTATCCGAGTTTTGCAAAAAATCTATATAGGCATAAAGACTAATGATGAGCTATGTGTGTAAAAAATTGAATACATTATTTACTGTTTGCATTTTCATTAAATTCCTCTTTGAGAAAAAGCTTAAAACTAGAATTTGTAATATACTACTTTTCAATTTTACGGCGCTTCGTAAGATCCATAATTGTAAACACAAGAAATATTTAATAGAACAATCAATCAACGAAAAAATCTTTAAAAGAAAATACAATAATACAATGTTATCAGAATCAGGACGTTTATTGTATTACACTTAGAATGGGTTGGTTCAGCATAGAACTATTCGAGCCGGTTTAGTTCAATTCTTTTTCTATATATTTGAATCATATCAATATTTAGAGCAGCCTAACTTCTCTCACCTTTTTTTTTGGAGAAATTTCACTCCTGATAAGGAAAGTTTTTGTTCGATTTTTTCTTGTTTTCCTAGGAAAAAAGAACTTAACCGTTTATCCTCGCTTACTACATATTTCACTTAGACATGTTTTTGGCTAAAAAATGAATATATCATATCGGAAACACAAAAAGAAAAAATGGCTATAGACATGGAAATTTTCCCAGAATTTAGTAATGCGAACAATTTAGCAGTGACAAATATACCGTTAGGCATCCTTTATAGAGAGCACACAGACCAAACTTCAAAGAAAAACAGACAAACCATACAAAGAACAATAATAAGAGCTTCACTCTAATCTTCGGTTCTGCTTCCTCATTAGGTCTTGCAATTTATGAAGCGATTAAATCTGATGATTAACATTCTTCATGTTGAATTTCCTTCTAGTAATGTGAAATAGGATTTAGCACTGATGCTATAGAGACAGTTGGAGATATAGTAAATATTTTGTCGAGTTAAAATACATGTAATTTCTTGAAACATTTTTTTTTGTAAAGAATTATTTCCTCCGGTGTTTCTCATAACTCTCTAAGGCTTTTTCAATCACTTCCATATATTTAAACTTTCTTGGTAACAAAAAATTGATCATATTCTTTAGTCTTTTTACTACATACATTTATATGCTGTAAGGGTCGAAGGAGTAAGGTTAGGGGTAAGATTAGCGCTGACAATTTTTAAAAAAATTCAATATTCCATTCCACTTGTAACATATCGAGTCTAAATCACATTATTTCTCAATAATCTGGGTTAAGAAAATTTTATCTTTGTTGTATACGAAATTTCATCACCTTGATCCTATCCTAATTGTCTAGGCTTGCTAACTACATGTACTATACAAGGACAGTAAGTCATGGAAAATTCTTTTAATTTTTCAAACCTAATCAGTTATCATAATAATAATGACCATTACCATTACACAATGTACATGTATTACGTACTTGTACATGATTGTCATTTTACACAATTTTCATGTATGCACATTTACAGACCCATACGTGAATAATTTGTACCATAGCGGTAAGACTCGTCAATTTCACACCCCTTTTTGAGTACGTAATAAAATCGTAAGATGTGCGTAATTCGAAAAGGATTGAAATTTTGTGTATGTGTTCTAACAAAAGAATTTTGTCATAGAAAAGATTCTTAGCTAGCTTGAGCACAAGGATCCTTAAAGTTACATGGAAACCATTGTGAAACCACATAAGGTCAATGGGATCCAGGATAAAAGTCATGGATTCTAATATGGATTCCTTTCAATCTAAACATTATCGATCACAAGTTATCAATGTAACAAGCGAACAAGAGCACTTAATGAGCGAAAAAACCAAATCTCACTCAATTTTCCACCAATACATCTCCTGGACTTAGCTTCCGTTGGTTATATGGTAATATTTTCAAACTTTATCAGAAGAAATATGTTCAGTAAGTACATCCCGTTACTTCATTAAAGACATACACACCCCTATAATGATTTCATTTTAAATGAAGATATCATTATAATAAGATTCGTATGTGATAGATTCGTTTTGGAATGTGTAATGGGTGTGCATCAGATACATTAGATTGTATGAATATCTTTAAGATCATAGAGGCGATGATTATATAAAATGAAATGATTCAGCGGATGGAAAAAGAAATTAATATAAGTGATTACAGCAAAAGAAATAATATCAGAATTTTAGGGAATTGAAAATATATCTGAACTTTTTCTTCACGCATTTAGTCTTGATAATGCATAATCATTTTCTAACATGTATTTTATTAACCCAGTCTATCACATAAAATGATTATCGTTATTATAAAGTAGATTCATGATTCAAATATACTCGTCGCGTTAAATATACGCTCGTATCAAAAATATTGACAGAGATGTTTTAACAGAAATTCTAAAATATTCCCGACTTCTATAATGCAAGATACTTTATCAACAACTTATGTTTTATAAAAGGGTATTTTCAAATATAATACATTAATAAAACAGTAAGCAAACTAACGATTTAATAAAGGCTAAAACGCTCATACCAATGAAACATGAACTGGCCTTCCTTTAAAGTTAGAAGCTTTCGATAACAAAAAATTAATACTATGGAAAAAAAACCATTGATTTCACTCGGAATAATTTTCGATAAACATACATTTGGCATTCCCTATACATGTAATAAATTGAAAACGGGCGTTTACTTTAGCCATCATGTAAATAATCCGTAACGGTAATGCGATTCAAGCCGATTTTTAGTTAGCTTAGTATGTAGAAGGTTGGCGAATCTATCGTTATTATTATCGTTTTCACGATCATGTCTACTGTCTGTGTGTATGCGCGGCTGTAATGTCGCACAACGCCAAATGACAGACATTGCAGTTTAGATCTATCGACTTAAACATACAGCGTTAGCGTTAGAACGAACAATACATAACGGAAAGTGAAAAAACGGGCAATCAAATCTTATTACATGTACATACGGCAACGATTCGAATTGGTAAAAATCATTGGTTGGACAAAAGCGTGCACCAGTTAAAATTATTTGTTAACTTCCAATTAGAAATTCTATTTGATATGATATGACTGTCGAAAACAAATTTGTTATTTTTAATCAAACTTAAAGGAGGATCTAATGTTATGAGTCGGAAGCATCGAGATTATTTAATTTACCAAACTGATTTGTGATCAGTAAATTATTCGAAAAAGGATTTTACAATTTTTATTAATGTTTCAAAAATATTTCCCGGTTTTATGGAAAAAAAACCATAAAGTATGAATTTTGTCGTAAAAGAACCGAATGGCCAAAAGTGATATAATCTACATGATTCGATTCAAAGACACACGTTAATTAGGGATCTTAAAAACGTATCGGTATATTAGGGAACACTGAATTTTAAATTATATGTAATAAAAATTCAAACATTGATTTCTTAGAGAGTTTAGTTATTAATGATGGCATAATTGTGTTTTGACGTAAAAAATTTTGCATTGATTTGTCATTTACATGTAGGTTTGAGCATCATTTAAATATTAAATGACGTATTTTGATTTTTTTATAATACAATTTGCAGTATTATTATTATTAATCGAAATTTTAAATTGATCACCCGACCTAAATTAAAAATTTTTGCTATAAAAGATTGTACATGTATTATAGTATTTACATAAATTAATAATTAATGTAATTTGAAATAGATGACTCGGTTATCTGCCAGAAAACTCTTCTGGATTATGTCATCAAAGAAATTTATCTTATCTAAAAAAAAATTAAAAAGAGATTGATCGATATTAATTCGAATGCATAAAATCATATTACTTCTTTCTATAAGAAAAATAAGGATCATAAATGAAAATTTGCAGGCAATTGCTGAACTTACAAAAAAGAAAGGAAGATTTTTTGCTGTTGCTATTAAAACAAATAATTATCTCTATTACTAATAATAAGTGGATTATTTTACATAGATAAATTAAAAAGAATTCGGGTATTTCTCTTCAAATTCGGCTTAAATATTCTTACAACTTATAATGAAAGATTAAATTGATAGTTACATACGTGGTTTAAAATTAATAAAAATGAAACGGAAAACAATATTGTTCCTTATTTGTTAATTATGTAACTGTTCGCAGAAGCAAGCTTTGCTTCCTGAATATTGTAATTGTTCACTTTCTGCATCCAATTTAAAAATTCTATACAAACTTCAGTGTCCTCTATAATTGTAATTTTTCTGACATTATTAAAAGAAGTTTCAAATAATTTACAGACTTTTACATTGTCGAGACCACCGCAACCTCGAAAACTCAGCGATTCGATATTGTAATTGGCTTGCGGGTTCTGCAACAACGGGTGTGAAGTGTTGAAATTGGTATTTATAAATTCAATACAAAATTTCCAAATTCCATCTTGGAGGAATCGGTCTGCCATAAATTCAGTATTTTGGACGAGGTGGTGGTCTCGAAGATGTTTTAAAACGCGAAATTCGTTTACTCCTCTCGGAAAAACTTTTCTCATGTCTAGATCTTGTCCAGAATGACGATGATCTATGAAAATTTCAAGGTATTTCTAGAAATTTGTTTGTTGTTAGAAATGAGCACGATTTATGATGAAATATAGATGAATTAAAGCATGATTCAACATACCATGTTTTCTGTAAGACCAGGCAAAGCTTTAAACAGTAGAGGCTCTTGAGGTGTCTTTTTACAAATCAATCGACATTCTTTGACCGAATTCAACCAAACTTGAAAGTTCTGGGTATTTTGTATCAAATATTGGCACACTTCAAAAGAAAGCGTGTCAATTGAACAAGTGACTTTTGTTATCTTGGAATTTCTATTGCGAAACACCATAAATAAAGCTTCATACAATGTCCAAATATAATTTTCGCTGAGATTTTGACGGCACCAGTCAGATACCACCTCAGCCATCGTATCAAAATTTATTTCAGATGCAAAAAATGGGTAGTCAAAATTTGGCCGGATATAAGTTTGCGTTGAGAAGCTCTTTGGAAATAAAGATTTCCACTGTTCATTATTAAGGAAAGACAGGTACACTTCAATAACTTTTTGCTGTTTTTGTGAAGACAAACTGGCACAAAACGGTTTGCTCCACATTAGAGGGACAGCTGATTCACACCATTTACGATTCACTAAAATGCAAGAATGCAAATCTGTTATTCTGAATTGGCTGCTATCAGATTCTCCCTCCAGTAAAAGTCTGAATATTATTCGAAGAATTTCTGGTGGTAAAACACCGGCCATTTTCTTTTTTTTTTGTTTTTTTTTTTCCTACGAATTCACGCAGTTTAAATATACAGCACAGTCAATAATAATAATAAAAAAAAATATTTGTTTTCAAAGAACAAATACGATTACAATTTTCCTGATTTTCGATTCGTGCAAAAAATTTATATAAAAAGTAAAGCATGCATAATATATCCGGAGACTCTCTTATTAACAAAAATACAAATAGACAATTGATTTGGTTTTGGTATTGCATCTTTCATGTTATGCATACTTATTATGGTTTGAACATATAGAGAGCATGGTACTATCCAGTGACTATATTTGCTATGCACGCCTATCCTTGTATTCTCTTTTTAGCTTGGGGATTTATAATTCTTTGTGGTAAAATCCACACACATAGATCCAATTTCGCAATAACTCCAAAAAATTCCTGCTTACAACCTGTTATAGGGAAACCACTTCTGGTAAAATTTTAATTGGATCTTAACGTTTTATTCAGCATCACAGCAGAGTTATAAAAAGATGGGTGGTAATCATCTAGCTCGTGAGATCCTGGTAAACAAAGGGGAGCGAATATTTAATCTGCAACTCAATTGCGAAGGAAAAGGCTAGCTTTTGCGTCTCCCATAAATAAAAGTACAAACAAAAATTTAAAATCTCATTTCTCATATTCCAGACCTTTATTTCCTTTCTAACCAATGAATGAAACACATGTACGAAAAGCACATATCATGCCATGCTACGTAAAACAAAGTCAAATTTTTTTCACCTGGATTTGAATTTCCAATTTCTGCTAAATCGACGCCCTACAGGAAGCCGAAGCGGCTAGACTGTTTAATAGGTTTCAAAAATGGCCGCGCATTTCACATTGTTGGGTGATCGACATAATCCAAAGGTCTAGTTTGCAGTCCGAGCTAAAACTAAAGCAGCAATCGGCTTATCGTCTGTATGCATTGATGTTTATAATTGGTCGCACGCGTGTCACCTGGTGGCGAATATACAACGATAGATTGAAAATAATATTTCAACAAAGAAATCTTTACTTTGTAAGCGTGCAACAAGACGTCATTGAGACTCTGGATGTTTTATTTATTTCGAAATTTTTAATAATAATATTGTTATTGTATCATGTATATGTATAACCATGTTCTCTTAGAATAACAAATACAGTAACATCATACCGATACGATTGTGCTATTTATAGGGAAAAAATTCGGCCCTGATATATTTTTAAACGCGCGTATCGATATTTTTTTTGTACAACATCGCCGCCATACAATGAAAATCAAATGGTACAATGAACAAGCAAGGTTTTATGCCCAATAAAATTTACCATCTTTATGCATGCAAAATATTCCTGGCAAAGGAAGGAATGGATACAGCTTTCCATAAAAGTAACCTCTGGTTTTAACAATGATATATTCACGGAAACGAATGGTTTACTGAATGCATTACATAAGACTAAAATAATCCTTTCGTTACAGATACATGTATGCAATGGAAAAAACTAATCTATTTAAATATATACAGATATGTTCGTACCAGCTTCTTGTCACAGGTACTGTTCCTGCAATTTGTTATCGTTGTGGATTCTGATTTTCATTACAGTAAAAATCTTTATTTTTTTGAAATGATATTAAAGCATTTACTTTATTTGGTTTTGTTAATTTTCTGAAACGTAAGTAATCAATGAGCAGATAATTTTAAAAACTTACGATATGGTACATTTAAATTCTAATAAAAAAGATTTATAATTAGATTTCGGTACTATATTTAGAATATAATTCAACGTAATGAAGACAAACTTTTTCATGTTATTGAAATCATAGTACTGCATCAATGAACTAAAAAATTTAGAAACTAAATGAAAACTATCAATTATAACAATAAAGATGTCATTTAATAAACAAAGATTCATTTAATAATAGTGCTTTTGTAAAGAAGGACAAATCAACTTTATTTCTATGCGTAAATATCAAAGTCAAGTGTAGTTTATAAATATGCACATTTAAGGCGAATAAGATATATAATTATGATTCTTTTTTCTTTAAAAGTATGGAGCATAAATATATATGAATTAATTGTAATACGCTGTATAATGTAGCTGAATAATTAATGATATATGAAGCGAAGCTGGCATAAGCTACTGCATTATCGATATATAAAAATTCCATCTGACAAATATTTGATATCAAGATGCTAATACATGTACATGAGATGTAACATGGATTCACATGATGTATATTCGGCGGAAATCTCCCGAATTTAACTAATCTTCAAAAGAATCCCAATTTTAAAACCCATTAAATGTGGATAAGAGAAGTAGTAACAGTTTGCTTCGAATTGTGCAGTATTTTTGTTTGAAAAGCAAAGGAAGCGCCTAGACAGTCTGTTTCAAAAAAAGCCGAATATGGAGCACAAATTAATATACATGTATCGGAATTTCTTAACACATGCTGTGCATTTTTCTTTAAAATATCTCCTCATCGCTGGATATATTATATCAGGGCGTTGTTCTAACCATATACTTGAATTTGCTCATTTATATATGTATTTATTTGTATTAGTTTAATTATTGATCAATTTTATAGCATCAATTTACAATTCTATGCAGATGTTCCTATAAAAAAATTTACTAACTTTATTTGTTTGTTTATAGCACTTAAATTAATTTACAAATATTTGCACATATGTCAATTCTTCTCATGAAATCCAGCATAGAATTCAGTAGAATTTTTTGCGCGTGAAACAGATAAGACTTGTACAACTTTTTATTTTAGGAAGCGGCTCAGATGTAAATGTGACTAGACCATTTTTTTTGTTTGGTTTCATATTTACCTGACCTGACCTGACCTGAACTGACCTGACAATTATTGTCAATGATGACTTCTCAATTGGAAAACAACATTATTGTTTTTATCCATCATTGTTTTTTTCTTCCCACTAACCCCCTATAATAATAATGCTAACAATGCTTATGTTTATAAATACTTCTCAGCCGATTTATGGGGCGCAGGAAGAAAGCTTCACCCTGCAGTGCGTACAGGTATTTGTAAAACAGTGAAGGATCAGCGATTTCTTTTTTTTTCGTAGAGCGAAAACGTGATTTGTAACATTTATGGACATGATTAAGGTTTTAAAAAGAATCATACCGATACTGTGTCATCGCTTTTTAGATGTCTTTTCGCACGCAGTGCTTTTACAATTGTAATAACCAAACTTAAAAACATCTAAATTATCAATTTATTAATTTAAGAAATACAAATATAGCTTTGCTTGCTTTTCAGTACGTAATATAGCATTTACAGCGAATAAAAGAATTCTAGACACTGCATAGGAAAAACACATCAAAAATCTAGACTTATTCATTAAAAATATAAAATTAAAAAGCTATTCTGACAATTAGCACATTGTATCACTAATTACAACACACATGAAATCCATACGACATTTTTGAAAAAAGAGCGAAATATAATATATATTCTATCATGCACATTTTTTTTCTATATTAATATGATAAGAATGAATATTGTCTTACTTTCAATTGATACATAAAATTTATTCAAATCGCTTTCTTTTATCAAGCCTAAGTTGAAAGCGGCTGTGTGAATAATAACCATATAATTTCATAATTTTTATTCCACATAAATAGAATATTTAATGATCAAGTTATCAAAGGCTAGACTAGTCAACAGAATATTGTTAGCTAACGTTAATTCCTTATCTTTATTGCTTCTGCAAAAAGTTACTCTTATTTGATAAACTTCACACATAATAATTAATGCTTTAATATGCATAATCTCTTTAGCCACCGCATCGTAGCATGTACAGGTATTATGTAAACATCGTGACCCATTAGATCTTAATAATTCGAATGATAACAAGTTAAGAAGATTAGAATTTGGTCTCTGTCCTATTGTGAAATAGTACATGTACATGTATACTAATACAATGATATGCCTTAAAGGTACAATGTACACGGAAAATCTATTATTTTATCACTATAGGTTCTGACAATTAAAAAATACATTTTTAAAACCTCAAAAGGCATAATATTTTGTAGCCATAATTCACTGATAGATTAATTTTTTGTCTTTTTTGGAAACCTGAATGCTTTAAATCAAATAATTCATATTTCTTATACTGAATATTATTTTTAAGAGAAGAACTTAACTATTACTCTAAAGGATCTTACACTGACCTTCAAATTGCTCAAAGTTTATAGAGGCTTAAGACCTGAAGGTCTGACACTATGCTAGGAGCAGTCAATTTCTTAACAAATATTGAGATCCTAAATTTTGAACTAATTTTTATAAGATCTCATTGAGTAAAACATTTTGATTAGTTATCTCAATTAGGTTTTTGTTTTGAAAATAATCTTCACTGTGAGATCTTTGAAAATTTTGATTTAAATCACTCAGTTTTACAAAAAATGACGAAAAATAATCTATTAATCCAAACAATGAAATATAATTAATATTTTTCAAAAGTGATAAAATATTGATATGCTCGAATTAGAATTGCTAATTATTCACGACGTGTAAAAAGAAAGAATAATACTTTTAATCGTAAAATCAGATTTAACGTTAAACTCGCTAATCAAATTCTAGGATTAATTCATGTTGATTTACATTTTTCATTATTTCGTTATAAAACCAAAATAATTTATCTGCTCGTTCATCCAATTTTCTATTCAGAGCCTCTGGAATCTTTTTATCAAAGAAATTATTCGCATCCCAATACAATACAGTATTCGATTGTGTTTTATCTCAACGAAATGCAATGATGTTACTATCTTGGCGGATAATACATGCATACGCCGAGTAATGAGAGAACAGTGCTAAACTCATCAATAAATTGTTAGCTATTAATTCAATAAACTTCTCAAATCCGTCAATATTTTTAATAATCGATTACACAGTCAGAAAATTATGGGTTTTTTTGAAGGAATCCTTGGTTGTCTTTAGGAATTCCCTTGAATTTAATCAATTTAATTTCTGTGCATATAAATCCTTATTAAAATTAAATACAACTGTTCTTTCATTTATAAATAGTAGAAATAATAAGCAAAAAGCCTATAGAGAAATATGTAAATATTTTTATGGTTCTCGAAATAAATCTTCATTTTTAAGATTCGACCTTTCAAAATATGCGAATTAAAAAACCTTCCTTTACTAGTATATAAATATCGATAATCTACTGTGGCTAATACGGTATTACAATTTATTTATAGTAATAGTGGGTATTATGTACATATTTGTTAGAATTATCCTTATCGTTATATATTCGAATGGTCGCATAGCGGCAAAAGTGATTGTTATAATCGTGCGTCATAAAAAATGTTGTGCACTGATTCACAAATTACGTTAATAAATAGAAAATCGAAATTTACAGATATCGATATAATTTAATAATACGATAATATAACATCATCTAAAAGATGCCGAATTTTGGTTGGCCAGCGCCGCAAAGTAAATATTTCTATGCGTTCCTGTATGCAGTGTTGTACACGGTGGCGGCGGGAATTGCTATTATTGCATTGGCCGAATTGACTGTAAGTTTTTAGGAAGAGATATGTATAATTTTTTTCTGATCTTTTTTTTTCGGAAAGTAGGACGATGATGACGATGAAGAGAACGAGGAGGAGGTTCTAGTGAACAACGAAGAGAATGATGATGACGAAGATGATGTCAATCGGTGATGGGAGTAGATTAACAACATATTAACCAAGGTGAGCTGAGAATACTGTATTTAATAATAATAATTTTTCCATACTAATCTTTTGACATTCCTCATAATAATTTCAAAATAAGCATATATTTTAGGTATAATTGTACTATACATGATAATAATAACACATTTCGAAAAAATAAATTAAAAAAAATAACTCCTCGAAAATTCACGTTGTCCAATAACCCGATGTGTACGCCACACGACTGGCTGCGATGACGAAGACGACACTTGATTAACTTCCTTTTTAAAAGTGTTGATAAGGTTGTCGTATTGTGAGTCGGTGGTGATGTCTGGTGCTAATAGAGGTTTTAAGAAAGGTTTCAGTGTGCGTAGTCGCTCTATATTATTTTCTAGTGCCTGGATTTTTTAAATTGAAAGAATGTTGAGGTTTATTTTTTCTTTTTGAAAATTAGAGATCATAAAGTATCGTGATTTAATACCGCTTCACCGAATTTTCCAGCTTTTTTGCCTAATATAATATCTTTTTCTTGATGTTGAATATTTTCCAGTCCATTTTCATGAAATAATCGTAGTAGTTCTTTCCCAGGATTTGAAATCATTCCATCATTTTCATACAATAATTTCACTAAAAAAAAAGCATACGATTATTAGAAAGTATGCAAACATCCCAAGTCTCAATCATTGAAATAAAAATCTCGCTTTAGCAAGAATAAACCTACCAGCATCGGAAATCTTCCGAGTTGCAACTCCATCTCCTATAAATCCAACCTCAGCCTCCACACACTCCAACCACCCACCCGGCTTCGTAACTCTCGTCAATTCTTTGATAACTTGATCTTCCCATTGTTGTTTAGTGAACGCATCACACATCGCTCGTTGATGTACGAAATCAAAAGTAGCATCTAGGTAATGCAAGCCATCTAAGATATCACATTGCGAGAATTCAGTGTTGTGTGGACGTCGTTTGGGAAATGTTCGTAAAATGTCGACACCGGTGAAGGTTACTGTTGGATATTTCTCGGCTAGCCCAATTATCCATGTGCCGGGACTACATCTTATTTGGCACATACAAAAAATGTATTTAGACGATTACATTGTCAATATTTCTTAACGGCAAAATTTAATAAAAATACCCAGAATCGAGCACAGCGGCACCATGTTGAAAATTTTGTTCAACTGGTGAAATAAGATCACATTTCCAGAAATGTCGCCAAACCTAGCAAATAAATTATAAAGAGTTATAATATATTATAAAACAAAAAGAATTCCGATAATTCATTTAATCACCAAATGATTTAATTTGAGTCTCTCTTGTGAAGCATGATCAAACACATGTATACTCATAGGATCGTTGATAGCTTGATATCCTTGCTGTAAAGGCCTACCATTAACGAACCGAATTCTTGGTGTGATCTGTTTTCCTTCATCTTCATCCGAGTAATTACAACAGCAATTTCCCATCTTAATAATAATATTATCAATATTTCTCGTTATTCGGAAACTACAGAGTTTCGAGAATCCGATCAACTATGTGCGAGAAAAATGACTATTTGTTTACAATATGTGTATCACAGAATGAACAGAAAAAACCTGTTGATAAGTTCTTATGTACGTATATCGAATCGTTACTATACTATATTTGGGCTTAGTTTGGTTTCCTGGCACAGGTTTAACATTAAGTCTCGTCTCGTAATAACGTTAAGGTTGCAAAAATACCCCAATTACCTAGTGTTTATTTAAAACAAAACGATTGGTGTTTTTTTTTGTTATTTAACATACGTATTTTCTTCAATCAACCGATTGGATCGTTGGAAAGGTACAGAATCTAACATCCGAAATTAAAAAAAAATATGCCTTGCATAAATAAAAATGATAGCATTAGCTGTTACATCAATTTTTTAATTATTCTATTCTCTATTTCAACATGGGTGGTGTGTTTGGAAAACCGCGGCGGAATCAATCTCTACAAACGAGATCAGTCAACAATCATTTAGACTTGAACGAAATATATAAAGGTGATATTTTAGAAGATTATCGTGTAATAAATGGACGGCGGTACCATAATGTTCAAGATGTACAATATTTCTTGCCGTTAGCAGGAGAAAGTAAAGAAAAATGGCGTTTAGAAACAGTCAGTACGGTAAAAGATCAAGCTTTTATTCTCTGTTGGTACATTTAGACATAACCTTCGTGTGTCTTTTTTGAAATAAACTCATTTTCCGCTTGCTTTTTGGCAATAAAAAAAAAAGGTTTGGAAAAATGCACACGATGGAAGACGTTTTTCTGCACCGATTCACGAAAAATTAAAAAAAGGAGCAAGAGTATTAGATGTTGGGTATGTATACGTATATGTTCATAGATGTCGTATTAAGTAATTTATGATTTTTTTTGCTTTAAAGATGTGCGGCGGGTAGCTGGTTATTAGATATGGCAGCCCTCTACCCCGAAAGCTCGTTCGTTGGCATCGATATTTCATCTGAATTCACTCTAGACGAAAAACTGGAAAACGTAATATATCTACAATGCAATGTTCTCAACGGTTTACCATTCCACGATTCATCATTCGATATGGTATATGAGAGATGTCTCATTTCCGCATTCAATAAACACCAATTGATTAAATTTATAGAAGAGTGTGTCAGGGTGACGAAGCCCGGAGGATGGATAGAATCGCATGAAATGGAAGCGAAGTTTAGGGGTGAAGGACCAATTACGAAGAAATTGATAATAGCGAGTTAGTATTACGCATCTATCTTGGATGAATTCAATTACATGACTTCCCATTAATAACGTGTATTTTTTTCATGGGAAGTGAACGAATTTCTAAAAATTAAAGGAACCGATGCGCAAATGTTTAGCACGATGTCTGAATATTTTGCCGCAAATGGTAAAATAGAAAATATTGGAGTCGAGAAAAATTCTATTCCTGTTGGGAGTTGGGCTGGTTCTGTAGGAGCATTAGTAAGCTTTATATGATTAACGGTAAATCTCTTAATATTTACTAATATTTTATTTGAATTTAATATTTGAAGATACTCGAAACTGTTTACGACTCTTGGATTTCCTTGAAACCTGTAATGAAAATAACACTTAACGTTGATGACCAAGAATACGATCGCTTACTCGAACAAATTCGTTCAGAAGGATCAAAATATAAAGCGACGTATCGAACGTATCGGGTGTTCGGTCAAAAAGTTGAATCAAATTAAGAATTGAATGTGGCGTATTGATGGCAGTGTGGCATTTATACATGCGTGTGCTGACTTGGAAAATTGGGGCATGCATGTCTCGAAGTTTAATTTAAAATTGATGTTTATTTAGTCTTCTTTTTGGTGGCGTCGTGAGAATTACTATCAGTTTTTCTATTTTCTTTTTTAGTGGTCTTCTTTTGGGAATGTCAACACATGTAAGTACAGCAGGATCGGATGCATTTTTTCTTTGGCCACCTTTTATCGAGTAATTGTAATTTTCCAAATCCTTAAAGTTGAATAAAGAAGATACCGATACACAACAGAAATACGTACTTCACTCATTATTCAATCCCTAACAGCCCAGTGTGAAAGATTACCTAATTCATTAGTAACGATAAACATATAAAACTCGGGATCTTTATGTTTATATGAATTAAATTTCCCCTTTTGGAATACTTTCTTCCTGAACGTGATAGATTATTAATTGATTGATTATTTTATCAACGATCAAGAATTCCCACAAAACGTAATTTCTAAGTAATTTACCACAGTGGAAAAATACATGTATAACGAATTTTTTGTAATGACGACACAGTAAAATAGTAATGAATCAAAAAATAGAAATACTTGTTATGTAAAACAAGATAGGGAATTGATTATTTATTTATAAGCAAATAATTTCAAAACATACTTTGTGGGGGATATTTCAAGTGGACATACATGTCGGATTTCTAACTTGTATAGAAATAATAAGCCTTTGAAACAAGAACGTATTTTGGTGGATGTTTCTTTTTGTATTTCCGCACAAAACAGCATCAACAAACGGCGAAGATTATATATAACGATAATACATAATGGTGAACCTTTTTTGGATTTGTGGGTCGAAATTATATAAAAAAAAGAAATTAAGATCAAAAGAAATACAACCAGAAAAACCACATCAAAAACATAATAATGATGACGATATCAAGTCGAAATCAACCACAATAATACTCGAAACACCTGAGGAAGCAGCAAATCGTGAATTCCAACTCTGTCTGTTTCATGCCCGTCGAAATTCACGCAGATCGTTTCAAAAACTCGGATGGCTCTATTTGAGCGGAAACGGCACAAGAAAAGACGAAAGATTGGCGTTCTTTTGGCTCTTGAAATCTGCGCAGGATGGAAATAAATTCAGTCAATATTCGGTAGCTCGGTGTTATCGAAGCGGGATGGGAACGATGAAGGATATTCATATGGTGTTTAGGTGGTATCGCAAGATTAGAACAAAGTTGAATATTAGAATGGACCCAACCTCCACTCACTTCTTCTTTGGTTCGTAATTTTGTATATTGTGAGCCTAGAGAATTATAATCGGAATTGGAAAATGAGATAAGGGTCGCACAAATTAACCAAAAACTATCTATGATACGTTCACTATTTTTTATGACTTCAATCCTCAGGTTAAATAACCACAGCTTCATTCTAAATGTTCTTTTTTTATCTCTTCTTTCGTAACATGTAAATTTATAAGATAACTTTTCCTTTTACTCAAAAAAAATTAGGTTCATTTAGATAAATCTATTTCCGCATATTTTTTCGTAATATTGTAAAATAGAAATCGATAGGACACAACAAATAATTTATCACAATAGAGGGAGGATCTATCGCATCACATATCAATATATTGTAGAATGAAAAATGAATTCACCAAATAAATTATAAACGTAAATAGTATTTCTAGTTTTCTCATAAACTTTTTGCAAATCAATATTTGTTTTTAACTCAAGGAAAATTATATGTTAACAAAGCTTGTTTTTTAATGCTTATTACTATTGCTCAGACTTCTTTTATTCTTGATATTTTCTTTATCACTAGCAGTATTCATTCATTCAAGTGATATAATATTGTTATAGATATGCTTCTAACAAATTATTAGATTATTTTACTGTGAAAAGAAAAAGGTATAAAGAAAGAGTATTTAGATTTATACCTACTATTACTAATGAAACAGAGAAATTATGTAAAAA